TGCTCTGCTCTGCTCTGCTCTGCTCTCCCCTCCTTTACGCGAGGTCACCTCCTTTTGAAGACCAATTTTTTAAAATCATTTTTCTCTGCTACTTTTTTTAACAGATATGGTGTCTAGTTCCGTCGAGAAGGAAATCAAGGATCAATACAATGCTCTAGCGGAACTACTTAGACATTTTTGGTCGTGTTTTCCGACGAAAACTCCTTCGCTAGAAGAAAAGGTAGGTCAATATGACACAGACACGGGTGAATACGCACTGCGCATGCTCGGAAATTTTGGCGGGAAATTCGTAGACGAGTTGTTTAAAAATTCGATTTGTACGATGATTTCTGTTTTGGTTTGCATTGGATTCGGTTCTTCTAAATGAAACGTTTATTATTTTCGTTTCTTTGTTCTTCCTAACTTTTTCTTCAAATTACTTGTGTCCACTTCTTTTTTTTTTCGTTTTCCCACTCTTTTCCTTCCCCTCTCCCTCCCTTCGTTCCTTCCTCCTTTCTTCATTTTAAGCCTTCTACTTTACCTACTGTTTTACATTCCCCCTGCATCATTTTCATTCTTCCTTTATTTATTTATTTATTTTTTTGCCCACTTTTTTTTTTTTCACCTTCCCTGCTTCCTGTTTTTTCCATATCCCTTTTTTTCATTCCTTATTTTCTTTCATTCGTTTCTCTTGATACATGGAAGATAAATGACAAAGCACTTTGCTCACTTATCTATCGTTTGGTTATAGAAAGTAGACTTTGAACTCCTGGTATCTTTTTTAGAAAAACTGGTGTTTTAATTTGTACAAATAACGTCTATAAGCTAAAGAAACTTATAATATAAATACAAAAACTTCTAGACATACAAGCGATAGATTTATTAATACTGTAATTCATAGGAACAGCTATTTTTCGGCAGTTCGATGTTCTTCATCATCACTAGACAACAATGTTTTAAGGGAGCATAGTTTCCACTTTAATGGCTATCTTCTAGCTTCCTTCTTCTTTAGACTTTTCTGTCCCAGAATGCAGCATCCCACATGTCATCTTTGTCACTCTCGCTGTCCGATGCATAGAAGTGTTGATCGACCTCCAGATCAAACACACGAACACAGTCTTCCTCTTCCTGCATTTGCTTGGCTGCCCTTTGTCGGACTTTCTGGGCTTGTGCTTCACGTTGTCGCTGTTTTCTGACAACCTTGCTAACAGCTTTTTCTCTTTTGGTTTGAGCTTCTTTCAATTTTCTGTCACTCTGCACCAAGGTCTGCTGTGCTTTGGCGAAGTTCTGTGCCTCAGCTATCTTGCTGCGCGTGTTGTTGGAGGATTTCTTGGCTTTAGTTTTAACGCCTTCGAGCTGAGCTTGTCTGTTCTCGGTGGCCTTGACTAGCTTTTCGTTTATTTTTGTGATCTTGTTCAACTTTTCTTCTTCCTCTTCTAATTTCTTCTCCCTCGCTCGCAAAGATTTCAAGGCGGCTCCTTTCCTTTTATTTTCCAGCTGCTTGTTTCTGTTCTCTTCTGCCTGTGCCTGCTTCTCAAGCAGCATCTCTCTTGTCAGGACGGGCAACTTTGGATCGCTTGCCAGTCTTCGTGGACAGGCTGCTTTCAAACCCTTTTGCACAACGTTGCCATCCAAATTCAGATCATATGCAACGCATGCTGGCGTTTCATATCTTCTGCTCTCAGTATCCAGGAACACGAGACTTGATCCGGTTTGTATGGCGATTTCTTTCTTCAAAAGAGCTTTTTCTTTCTCGATTTGGATTTTGGCCCTTCTGAGGACTTCTAGTTCAAAAGGACATGGTACAGGCGCTACTATGTTATTGCGCTTAAATTTAGACTGAAATGTTCCGCACATTTTGAACAATAAAWATCACTTGMTAWTCAAACACGTCTTGTCAATTCAACTACTTGAAACGATCTATTTTCTAATTTGCTATGACGTCATTTGAATTCTATTTGTGACGTATTCAATTGCGCACGCGCGCGCGGTTATTACGATGTGCGCAAGGAATTCTGGTCTGCATTATATATTTAACAATTATTCACCTTAGGCTCTGAATATCGGTGAATATTTAGCAAGCCGCGAGTCTTCGAGCGGCGATCACTGTGCCTGAGGGGAATAATTGTTTTAGACTTGAATATCAAAGGAAAGTCGAAATTCAGGATATAACAAAAAATCTTCGCCCTAGTAAACTTTGAGAAACCTCATAATCACCGCTTGAGTAGTGATAATCGTCTCATAATCACTGGTCGCTCGACCAATTACAGCGCGCAAAACACTATATTCAAGGCTAAAATCATATACTTAAATAAGATATTCCATTGTGTTATACTTTTCAGTGTAAAGTGAATAAATATCTGCTTTTTTCTATGAGAGAATATCTTAATGCAATAAATACATCTCAGTGTCCATTCACTAATGACAAGATAAAAAGATAATAAAAAAGATTATACTAAAACCTCCTTTTACCGGTCTCTTATCTCTTCTGTATTTTCCTACTGGTGGGCTAGCTGTGTCCCTCGCCTGCAACCACAGGAATCCCAAAGACGAAAATACAAGGCTATTATATAAACTTGATTGGCATGATTCTTTTTGTTTCTCACAGCTCGTGCGAATGGGTAAAAGTCTTGAAAAGTATCGTGATAACAATCTGGTGCACCTGAAATCTAAACTGCCCCAAGAAGAGTCTCACGTGAGTATGATAATAGAGTGAAAGAGATTACGATCAATAGACCGATCTTTATTTACGTTTTTTCCTCATTAGCATAAAGACAAATTTTCAAGCTACAAGCAAACCGACACTATAAATTACAAAGAAATGTATGGTTGTGTGGCAAGTCTTACCACACGACCATACATTTCTTTGTGATAGTTTTTTCACAAAAATTTTACTCCCAAAATATTGAACATATTACTCTCAAATTTTCAGTAGTTACTAAACAAAACATTCTCTTTCGATTTCTGGAGTCGGTTTGCTTGAAGCTCCTTTGCATTTTATAAAAGAAATAAAAAACTTGCTTGCTGTGCTGTGTGCAGTCATAAAGCACTTGGGGATTGGCAGAACACTCGAGAAGTGTCGAGAAGCACCCCGTACGCGTCGTGCTTCTCCTAAACTTTCTCTCGTGTTCTGCCAATCCCCGCGTGCTTTATAACTGCACACAGCATGCGCGTTTTCTATTTCTTCATCAGCGAACGCTTTATAGGCTGAATGACTTGCAAGTGAACACACATGACCTGCCGATCTTAGTAAGCCTAATTATGAAGAGATTTAATGAAGTTTTCCCATTTATTTTCTTAGCTGACAAACCACCTTGATCAAATGATAGAAGCCGCCACCACGAAATTCAGAACCTGGGAATCCAAAAGATCAAATCCAAGAAGCTTAACCAGCTGACAGTGCTCCAAGGTCAGCGGTCATGCGATGAAACTTTCCGTTACCATGTTTTTCATGTACAAAAACAGGTTCAGCAAGTTGTTTTTCTATTTTTTTCCCAGTCTTATAATTTAGTTTCGTCCTTAAAAATTCCTACAGTCTAAGCTCAAGTAATAAGAAATTTGTAATTTACTACTGAGCCCGCGTTTCTTGATGGTCTGCGAGTATTTTTCAACCGCTGATCGCCAAGTCTGACATTCGGAGTAGCAGTTTAGTTATTTTCTATTTCTTACCGCGGTACGGTATCCTGGATACCGGGATAAGTGCGATTGCTAAAAACCAACAAAACAGAAAAACAATATGAAAGGCAAATGAAAAAAATGAAGGAAAAAAAAAGTTTTATTACATCCAAACTGTGCCCTTGGCCTTGAAAACGTGTATTTAAGGCCCCGTCCACACTATGCCGGATAAATTTGAATCCGAATTTTTATTTATCCGGTTTGGCCTACCGTCCACACTTGTCCGGGCGAATCCGGAACAATAGGCTCTTTGCAGTTAACGGTCACGTGTCTGTACTGGACTGCAAAAATTTTGTTTTTATATTAAATTGGTGATTCTTTTTAGCTACTTGTAAAGAACTGAATGAAAACATGTGTATCCAGTATGTTACGAAATGCAGTTTTATTACGATCTCTCCAAACAGGTTGTAGAAAGTGTGTTTGCTCACCAGTATATTTCACCCATGGGAATCAAGATGTTCATTCATTTGCTCTCAGTGAATTAATCAGCACGTGATTGCTTAGCTGCAAAGGACCTATTCTTCACCGAAAACGAATATTTTCGAATACGGTCTCCAAAGTGTAACAAATTGGAAACGACGGCTAGCCGTATTAGTGTGGACGGAGAACATTTCGTATCCGAAATTTTTCGGATACGATGACGTCATTATTGTCATGGGAACATGGCGGGAAGGCTTAAAAATTCACAGCAGGCTCAATTTGAGCTTCGATGCACGTGATGTGCAATGAAGCGTTTTTAACGCCTCTGATCGGACTAGTGTGGACGCGAAACATTTTATCCGTTTTCATGAGTGGACGGAAAACTTTTTTTTCGGTTTCGGTGTGAAAGTTGCGGATTCAAATTTATCCGGCATAGTGTGGACGGGGCCTAAGACCACGATACCGGGGCTCTCCGGGATAAAATGGATTATGACGTTGTGTAGGACATGAACTGGCTGGCATTTCTACTAAAATTTTCTTATTATTGTCGAAAGGTAGGAAAGCTGTGTATGGTAGATTATTTATTCCTACCAATGTATGTATTTGGTGATCATACACACATCAAACTTTCCACATAGAAAAGTTGTCCTTCCGCTCGAGCCGTTTCTTTTACCATATAAGGAATGTACTTACCATATTTGGAAATTGGAATATAATTTTCTTTAATAAATAGGCGAATTTCTTGCTCAAAACTGCTCAAATTTACAGTAAATCGAGTGAAAACATCACTAACTAGTCAGCCATCTTGGTTTTGGCCGAAAAAGGACTGGAAATGTGTAGAGGAGGGGAGCGTGGTTTTGTCAGAAGTACCATATGACTAAAGCCTCGCAATCGTCTTAATTATAAAATATCGATGGTCAAGGAATTTTGTCAAAGGAGGAACGATTGTGTTCTTTATTTCTTTTGTTTTCCTAATCAAACAAGCTTGAAAAATATACGTAAATGAACAACAAATACTATAGGCCGATCTTTACGTACGTTTTTTCCTCATTAGCATTAAATGAAATTCAAGCTACCGACTCCAGAAATCGAAAGAGAATGTCTTATTTAGTAACCACTGAAAATTAAGATCGGCTTATAGGCTTTGCTTGAGATATATTTGTGAAATAAAAAAGAATAATATAACGTACACTGATTTTTTTTTTTAGTTTGCTTCATAAAAATAATTAAATTCTTGACACTCTTGAAACTTTTTGGACAATAATTTCTATTTTTTTAAATAGTTTAAGATGCGTTTTATTTTTATTTTTGTTTTTTGTTTGTTTTTACATGCTTGTTTGTTCGTTCGTTCGTTTTTTTTTTCATGAACGCACGAGTAGAATAATCGAGTTCCGAATTACCGCTGTGTTTCTTGATTACAGACTCATTTGCACAGGGTTAACCTCGATTTTGTGAAGAATATTCACGTGTTGCAGTCAAGGTCCGTCAAGTTTCAAAGTGCTCGTATTGTTGAAGTTGTGCATTCTTTACTTTACCGTTGGTATTTGTGAATATTTAGACACTGATTAGAGGCTAAGCCTGAGTAAATGAGTCTGTAAGGAACACAGCGGTAATTTGGAACTCTAAAAGGGTCTATTCCGGAAATGCAAATAATAAATGCTTCACTATCTACCAAGATCTACGCGTCTAAAAAGATTGAGATCTACTTCAACCAGAAGAAAAAACAGGGGCGTTTGACTTGGGTAACATCTCGTTACCTAGGATATGGTCAGCCGCTTTCTCTGCTATCATGATCGTGGGCGCATTGAGATTACCGCTGACAATACTTGGCATGACCGACGCGTCCACTACTCGAACACCCTTGATTCCTATCACACGTGTTTCTGGGTCCACTACGGCTAGTGGATCAGAAGGATCACCCATCTTACACGTGCATGAGGGATGATAGTTGGTTGTTAGATTGGTACGGATGAAATCGTCGATGTCCTCGTCTGTTTGAACATGATCTCCTGTGGAATGTTGATGTATACACCTACTTCAATAAACGTTGCCATCGCCAAAGGTGATAGGTAATACGCGATTCACCATTTTCCATACATCGGTTCGCTGGTCAAACACAAAGCGCTCATTCGAGGCGCTAAGGTACTTTCAAAGGATTATTCAAATTTGAACCTTGCAACCTCGACTGAATGCTTTGTGTTTGACCAGTGAACCGATATATGGAAAATGGTGAATAGGCGAAAAGCGAGCGTGTAGGAGATAGGTCATTCCAAGTTCCAAGAATATCTCGAATGACTTGTGCTTCTGCTTCTTATTCTCAAAAAAAAAAAAAACATGAACCTTAGTGTTGATACTGATTCAATGTTCTTTGTATTCAACGAAACCATTTCCATGCCGGAATGACCTATCGCCTCTGGCGTAGCCTTCTGCGCAGCCGCTGTGAGACCGGGAACTGGAAGCGCCTCACATCGGCTGCGCAAGAGGCTACTTTAGCGATGACAACGTTTATTGAAGTAGGTGTATCAGTAAAACGTTAAGCCAATAGGAGACTTGCATTATGGCGTCATTTACGTATTACCACTACCAGAATCCCTTGAACACTTTCTTCTGCTCAGTAGCAATTTTCTTAGGCCCCGTCCACACGTATCCGGACATTTTTGTATCCGCAACGGATACGGGTTGCGTCCACACGTGTCCGTATCCGCAAATTTTACGAAAACGGATACGTGTGGACGGTGAAAACGAATCGAATACGCAGCGTGTGGACGCAAACATTTTCGTATCCGTAAAAAAAAAATTTGCGGATACGAAAATTTCCGGATACGTGTGGACGGGGCCTTACTATTCTCATAAGAGAATGCAAACTTGAATAAGAAAGAAAATTCGCGAAGCATCTTGGTAGTGGTAGTTCAATGACGCCATGATGCAAGCGGACTACAAGAAGGCACCACACATCATATAAATCACCCGTCTACCATGACTGGCCCCCTCTCCCTGTGTTGGCCACATCAGCCAACTCTTCATCGTTTCTTACCTGGAATGATTTCCTTACCACGGAACGGCTTGAATGCATTTTGAGAAAGCACGTGTCTTCCTATACTAAGACCCTTTCTCGTTAATTCCCAGTCGTATTCTGTTTCGAGGTAATTTGGTTGAATAACGGGGTGGTCCCGAGGGTCGCGGGATTTTAAAGTGATGTAGCCGGTGCTTGCTGAGCGCTGAAGCGAGATGGACGTCTAAAGGGTTATAATTAGAAGAAAAGAAATAGTTATCCCGCGTTAGATGGAAACAAAGTATGGACAACGAAACAGAATATCATCATCATGCGTCATCATCAGCATCATTATCACCATCATCATATCATGATCATCACCATCAATCATAATTACAGTCATCATCATCATTACCACCATCATTCGCCACCATCATCATCATTACCTTCGTCAGATCATCAACATCATATCACAGTCATCATGCGCCACCATCAACATCATTATGCGCCACCATCATCATTATCATCATGCACCACCATCATCATCATCATCATGATGCGACGTCACCACCACCACCATCGTCATCATCATGCGCCATCATGCGCCATTATCAGCATCGTCATCACTATGTACGTTACCATCATCAATATCATGGCATYATTATCACCATCATTATTATTATCTTAATCATTATCAACATCACCTCCATCATCATCATTGCCATCATCATCATCATTGCCATCATTATCATCAGTGTATCAGCTAATCCCAAGCGCAATTAACATGGCATTACTATACTATTGCTATACCCTATAACCGTGTCCTTTGGAAACCATCTTCCCGCCTTCATTCCTCAAGACGATGGGAACAAAATCGAACTGAATGTCAGGATGAGAAACGTTATTGTCACTCCTGATGAAGGCCCCCGTATCGAAGTGTGACGTTCCACATGGGCCCTTTTTTGTAAGGAACCACTGAGCACCTATGAGGATTTTGGTCCACCATTTTTGGTATTTGTGAAGTCCAACACTCTGGATGCATTCCTGGTGTTAAGATAAAGGAACCCAGTGAAAAAGAAATGACGTGCCAATTAATATATAATGGATGCATGACAAATGCATAAAAGTAACTCAGAAGGAATTTTAAACGCAGCAATTCAACCACAGGAATTGTTTTCGAACTCTGGATGCATTCCTGATGTTAAGATAAAAAAAACTAGTGAAAAAGAAATGACGTGTCAATTAATATGTAATGGATGCATGACAAATGAATAGTACATGTATCTCAGTAGGAACTTTAAGCATAGCAATTGGACCACAGGTATTGTTTTTGAATTTTAAAGCCGCTAAGTTGAATTACTAACAAAAAGAGATCGATCATTATCTTCCTCCGTTATATTGACCAATATTACTGTAAAGGAAATAATACTCAAGGGAAGGACATAGGTCTGAAATATTTTTTTAAAACGCCCAATTAAAAGCCAAAGGTACCTGTTCTATGTATATTTGTGGATGGTCCTGAAGGTTTTGACCGACCCCCGGAAGATGACAAACCACAGGGATCCCATGCTTGTTAAGTTCTTCACTATCACCAACTCCTGATAACATTAGAAGTTGAGGAGAGTTGACGGAACCACCTGACAGGATCACTTCCTTAGATGCGCGCGCACGTCGTACCTGATAGATAAAATGAAAGGGAAACAAACTAAAGAAAAATGAAGTTACTGCGCCCATTCCGACGCAACAACGATCACGCCATTATTTGAGCCCACGATGTGCGCGCATTAAAACCGCTCAAAATCGCAAATGACCTTCCAATCTTTACTGAAGAGCCATATAGGATTTGAGCTTCAACATCGCAAAATCTTCCGATTAGATAGTTAGGGAGGCATACTCGATATAGGTGGCTAAGCAGTTTTTAAAGAGAGTGTGAGGGAGTGTGTGTGTGTGTGCATAGGCAAATTAGCCATTTTGGGGTTGAGGTAACGCATAACTCGATTTGCATTGCAATGCATTGTCGGCCGCTAACAATGCCAACCTCAGACCCGCTGACCGTGCCAACCTCAGACCCGCTGACCGTGCCAACATCAGACCCACTAACAATGCCAACATCGGACCCCCTGACAGTGCCAACCTCAAACCCGCTAATAAGAATGAAGGATGGACCAGTCTAATCATGTCTAACCTGGTTGTCCACATGATATTCCAGCCCTACTGCTTGGTCACCTTCGAACACAATACGTGTCACAAACGCTTTGGTTTCGATGCGCAAGTTTTTACGATGTTTGGCGGGATTCAGGTAAGCAGTGGAAGTGTTCCATCTCCTCCCTAGCAATATTATATTGACAAATACAGTCAACTCTCGTTACAGCGGACACCCTCGGACCGTCACTTGGTGTCCGTAATAGCGAGCGTCCGTAATAGCGAAAATTATTTACGGTCATTTCTTTGTCAATATTTTTGTCGGGGATTTTTCTCCTGTCCGTAATAGCAAGGTGTCTGTAAAATCAGGGTGTCCGCAAGGCGATAGTTCACTGTATATCATTCATTCATTGTCAGAATGAAAGAAAGCACGGTTAATTGGAGTAGTGGTATATATGAAAGCCTGTGAACGATGCTCTCTACAGATTGGGGAGAGGGAGAACTGGGGAGAGGGAGGATTGATGAGGGAGGATTGGGGAGAGGGAGGATTGGGGAGAGGGAAGAGGAGGGAGATTGGAGTATACCTTGGTGAATAACAAGATCCATTAGACCAAATCCTTCCTGTTGAAAACCATTGAAGTCTTCAGTGACTGGGTAACCTGCCTGGCGTCCACTGTCGATGAGGGCCTGGTGCAGAGGAATCTTGGTCTGACCACGTGACACATGTAAGGGACCACTCCCTCCTCTGTATTCATTAGGGCCTGGCAAATATGACAGCATTATGCAAACATCAGAAGTCGAAGAGCTTTCAATGGTATGTCTGAGTGACAAGCTTCCCCATACCCACCCCCATGGGATATACATATGCATACCTAGTTCATGTGTCTGTGTGACAAATCTCCCCATACCTACCCCCATGGGATATACATACCTAGTTCATTATTGTGTGACAAATCTCCTCATACCTACCCCCATGGGATGTACATACCTTGTTCATGTCTGTGACAAATCTCCCCATACCTACCCTTATGGGATATACATACCTAGTTCATGTGTCTGTGTGACAAATCTCCCCATACCTACCCCAATGGGATATACATACCTAGTTCATGTGTCTGTGTGANATGTGTCTGTGTGACAAATCTCCCCATACCTACCCCAATGGGATATACATACCTAGTTCATGTGTCTGTGTGACAAATCTCCCCATACCTACCCCCATGGGATATACATACCTAGTTCATGAGTTTGTGCCTTCTTAAAGTATGGCAGACAGTCAGCATACGACCAGCCTTTAGCTCCTTCACTTTCCCATCTATCATAGTCATATGCATGTCCCCGGTTGTATATCATAGCATTGAGAGATGAAGATCCTCCCAAGACACGTCCACGAGGCCAATAGATAATCCTAGAGACGCCATAAAAAATATATACATTGTAAGATGAAGAAGTTTTAAAATGGAAACCAGGTTAAAAAATGCATGTAGCCTGGGTTCGAGTCGTGACCGCAGTGCATGTATGGACTGTCCGCAGGGATTCACTCGCAAGCATATGGCGCTAATGAATGTGACGTAAGCTGATGGATCGTCTTTACTACTTTGCCAAGCAGAGATCGATTATTCGCTGATAAAATAAAGCAGCTTCGAATTTAAGATAATTTTGAAATGTCTTCATTATATATATAGCTGTATAATTTCTGTAGCTGTGCGGCAAAACCGGTTACACTGGTTTGACTACAAACCTGTCATTCAAGTTTTTCTGTGGCTCTGTATGATAAAACCAGTTATACTTGTCGTCGCAAAGGTTATAGGGTATTGCCGCTGGCATGTGGATTTTCCATGTCTTGTCCTGCGGACCTGCCTCCAGTAACAGCACATTGTTGTTAGGGTCAGCTGAAAGACGATTGGCTAAAACACACCCTGCTGAACCAGCACCGCAGATGACGTAATCATGAGTGGAAGAGAAGGTGATTGGTCGAGAGGAAATCCACTTCAATAAGGTCCCTACAATGCAATTTGAAAATTACTTCGTGGTAAATTTTACGCATCATTCGATGCACTGTTTGAATATAAATAATGTCTGAAGGCAAAACCCGTTTTTTTAACATGGATAAGTCGCTTGAACTTATAATTAACACGTGACTACTTGGGTGTTTAAGTTTCTACAGCCCTGGGGAGGGGGGGGCTGCCACGAACCTCTCAAGTCTATTCCTACCTTGTTTCGTACTCCTTTGAAGTAAATAAGTGCCCTTTCGATATGCAAGAGACATCAGGGCTCAAATGAAATAACTCTGTAAATGTAAGGATCATATAAAAATAATCTATATTATTCAAAAATCAGTTTTTTGGGAATCAAGACATAGTTGGGGTGCAACGTAGCAAAGTAATAATAATAATAATAATAATAATAATAATAATAATAACATTTATTTATACACGATAAGTTATATACAGCGTAGCTGATGTGGTCGTGTTCTAATCCTAGGTCCTAAGCTATACTAGTCCTCTCACTCTCACCCACACACATTCTCTCTCTCTCTCTCTCTCAWTCTCTCGATCTTATCTACTACTAAGCTAATTATTACATAATTTAATATTTTGACTGGAAAGAGTTATTACATCTTTAGTTGAGATATGTCCTTCTAAGTTTTTGTTTGAAAATAACGGGGCAACTCGATTCTCTGGTATTGTTGTTGAGCGCGTTCCACAGTTTTGCACCCTGGTACCTTATTGCCTTTTTTCCATGATTGACTGTATGGAAAAGAGGCAATGTTATTTGGTTGGAACTACGTAGGGAGTAGCCAACATCTCTCTTTTTGATGTGGTCCTGCAGTTCCTGGTTGGAATCTAGGTTGTAGTAGCACTTGTGCATGAAAACACCCAGCTTGATAGTGTAAAAGAACTTGAGGGGTCTCCAAAGCAGTTGGCGCCTTATCTCTGTTCTTGGGGTGTTCCAGGGCAGCTGGTTGATGRCACGTGCAGCTCTGTAGTGTAGCTTGTCCAGGTTATCCATGAGTGTTTGAGTACAGTTACCCCAAAGTAATATRCCATAGGTGACGGCTGGAAGAATGATCTTGTAGTAGAAGTCTTGTTTTACAAGTTTGGGAAGGAAGTAGAGCGATTTGAGTAGATTTAGTTTTTGCACAAAAGATTTAGTGAGTTSTGTTACATGGTAASACCAAGACAGCTTGTCATCTAGTTCTAGGCCTAGACATCTGGTGTGTTGGACTTTCTTCAGCGATRCTTTAMCAAATGTGACGTCTGATAAGGGACCAATRRATGGAGAACGTCGCAGAATCATGTACTCGCACTTGCCAGRGTGAGCAGTCATCCGGTTTGTGTTGCACCAAGCGTACATTCGATGGAGTACAGCATTTATTCTGTTGACTGCAATATCGGTTGTTTCGCCAATGGTGAATATCGTAGTATCATCAGCGTACATGTATAACTTATCCTCACCAGTTGCAATATCTGGCAGGTCATTGCAGAAGATAGAAAAAAGGACTGGTCCTAAGACAGATCCTTGCGGGACGCCATATCTAACACGTTGAATACTYGATGATACACCGTTGACAACCGTTGTATGAGCGCGATCTGTGAGGTAGTTCTTTAACCACAATCGTACGTCATCAGCCACACCGAGCATGGTGATCTTGTTCAGGAGAACGCTGTGGTCTATAGAGTCGAAAGCTTTCTTGAAATCAAAAAAGACAGCACAAACGACATAGTTGGAGTCAAGGGCCGACCTCCACTGTTCTATCATGTTGGCAAGGAGTAGTTCACTTGAGAAGAGGAGAAAAAGTAGGCGAAACAAATGAGGAGGCAAGAAAAGAAAAAAGAAACGCTGTAAAGGATCGAATGAAGAAAGCAAAAAGGACGTAGAGAGGAGAGAAGAATAGATAAAGAATACTAACTTAAGATACTGGTCAAGGCCAAATCAGCAGCATTGTGACAAAAGTCAATAAGCTGCAAGAGTGTTTACACCGTGCATTGGCGACGCAATCGTTGCCAAAGGTAGAAACGAATTCAACTTTTTGCAATGTTTGCTGCAACTTGTCTTGCAACATTTGTTTCCAATTGCGCTATAGGTTACACGCTGCAATGCTCCAAGTTGCAGAGAAAATTGCTCCGTGTAATCGCGCGCCTTTACGATCTGCTACAGCACACACATGATGCATGCATGCAACAATGAAAAAAAAAAAAAAGGCGCTCAATAAGCGCATGTAGCTACTGCCATAAGAAATTATTTTTCTATAGGAAAGGAATGGAGGACGTTGGTAGCTGACTATCGAGATATATGAAGGATATATAGGTACCATATTGAATTAGCGGTGTTGGCGAAAAAAATGTAAATGTTAATTAAAGCAAAAATTTATATATATATATAGAACGAAATGTTGATATTGATTTTATGAATTTTAGGGCTTTTTTAAATTTAAAAATTAACATTGTAATGGGAAATGTATGTTTTGTTTTATGTTTTTGTGCGTGTTGTAAGATATTATTTTAAAAAGCAATAATTCTAATAATATAATATATTAATTATTAATAATAATATTCCGGAAGTTTATGGATTGAGAAATTTTTGGCTTCCTGTGGTGTTAGTAGCCACGAAAAATTGGGACATTTTGCCACTACTTTAGTTTATGGTATTAGATTTTAAACCAGTATGTAATATGAACAGAATTTTGTCTCTTGCAATATGGATTTAACTTTCTTGTAACTTGTTTCCTGAGGCCCGTTGTGTGACGCTTCAGGGTCACAACTTCAACGTTCCTATTATTTTACATGTAAAATTATGCAAAAATATATGCATATACATGCGGCCCAGTTTCACTGTAAGGTTGCTTATAAACCACTTGAGGCATCACGGAGTGCAAAGCTGATCATGATTAAATGTTTATAAGGAAAACAATATGAGACGATGCTTCTCATACATAAGAATTGAAATAATGTTTGAAGAGATCGTCCTGTAAACATAGTCTAACTTCGTATTAAAGATGGTGATGAAGGCTAAGCATAGGATCAGATCAGCTTCAACACTGTGGCCCGTCTTCACTAGCAAGACCTTGGAGTTTCAACTTACAGATTAATTAAAATTTGAAAAGCTTAATACTGATAATCTTTGTACTAAAATTCAAAAATCTTGAAGAGAATAGTGCGGAAATTGTAAAAATAGCTTACCTTCCAGTTGCTTGACTGTTTATCAAGGAGTCTTATTTGTATGCAATAGAATATCGTCACGCAATAGGGTTCAAAGCGTAATGGAGAAACTGTGGAGTGAGCAACTCGAAACTGCTGCGAAGTGATTGAAATGCGTTTTGCCTTCTGCCAGTCAAAGTTTCCAAGGTCTTGGTTAGTGTTTCTTCGGATAAAGGGAGCGGAAACCGAAAAAAAAAACACTGCGTATTATTAGCTTGCCGTAAGGGATGGACCATTAGATAATTTGGGGAGCGGGGTGGGGGT